TGTTCTCAGACTGGCTTCACGTTAGAATCATCTGGAGAGTTTTTTAAAAAAAAACACGCGAGGCTGCCGCGAGCTGGCAGGGGCGGGTGCCGGTCGCCCCGGGACCGCTCGTGGGAGCGCCGGCCGGGGCCGCGGGCCGCAGCCCGGACCCTGCTGACCTCGGCGCGGCGGCGCTGCCCTGTCACCGTTCGCGAGCCCTGCAGTCTGCTTCTGAGAGTGACTTCTTTACCGCCACTCTTGCCTTTCCCTCGAGAGATTTGACAAAAAGTCCGTTGTGACTGAATTATTTGCGACAGTCTTCCTGAAGGAGATGCGATCGCGCGCGCGAGGGACAAGTCTGTGCTGGTTTCTGATTGACGATTGGCAGAAACTTCGCAGTGTTCTGCACCCTTCACTGATAATGGCTTTCCCTTCAGAAACCCCGGTTAGTGACGGGGGGTGAGAGTTTCAGCCGCTTCCTTCAGGACCACTGTCCCGTAGTGACAGAAACGTACTACCCGACGGTCTGGTGCTGGGAGAGTCGGGGACAGACCCTGCTGAGACCGCTCATCACTTCCAAGCCTCCGGTGCAGTACAGGAAGTAAGTAAATTCCCATTTTCAGTCATTTCTTCAAAATTGCTGATTTTGTTTGTTTGTTTTTCATACTCCCAGTTCTCGGTTAATAGAACCTTTGGTTTAGTAAGTCTATACTCGTAGAACAGAAAGAGGGAATGAAATGGAAGGTGTGTTTCCCACTCCACTCCCAGCTGCTGGAAAATAGTCAGGTATTGGCCCTCCCACCACCCCTTTTTTGCACCCTGATGTAAATGGTTTATTTCAAAGAAGAGAGAAGTGTTTGGGGGGGACTGTTTTCCAGTTTTTCATGCATCTGTCCCTGAGCATCGAGATCCTTTGATGATATGCACCAATTCATTGATGCGTAGCAGATACTGGGGTAGGGGTGAGAAAGATGCCAATTAACTCGGGTTTTGTGTGATGGACTCTTATAAAAGGGCTTCATATTGACAATTGACAAATGGTTTCTTGGTGATAATGTCCTTGAGGCGTTAAAGATATGATCCAGAATATATCAATAACCAGGAGATTTAAATGGTGCCTATTATTAATTTCCCTGAGTCATTTAGTCCTTCTGGAGATCTTTTTGTTGTCTGAAACGTGCACTATTTGGGAAAATTCTGCAAGTTCATAGATGCTATGTGAGAAGTATTTTAAATTATTGAAGAAACAAAATTTGTAATATACTCTGTGGGGAGACTGCATTATTGAACCAAAAGAGCTAAAGCAGTGATCAAATCAGCGTTTTACTTATTCATTATTCCCTGTTGAGTTATTTGGGTGACCTCAATCAAATAGGGGTTAAACACTGGGTATTTTAGAGTGATGATGAAATAATTAAGATAAATATTTGACATGCTTCCAAGTTCATTTTTATATGCTACCTTTTATTGGGGTTGCCGGAAATACTTTATAGTACAATCTTCATTGTACTATATACATCCTTGTAGTGAAAGAAAGTGATACGTAGGTATAGATAGATATGTGTGTGTTAATGAATGCTGAAAAAGTTATTTTGAGATGACCAAATAAGGTCATATACTTATGAAATTAAAACACTAAAATTAAAACGGGACTTTAAACACTTAATGAGTAATGTCTTTTAAATTATTTCTTTCAGTGAACTTATTAAAACTGCAGATGGAGGACAGATTTCACTGGACTGGTTTGATAATGATAACAGTACATGTTATATGGATACTAGCATCAGACCTACTATCTTATTATTGCCTGGCCTCACCGGAACAAGCAAGGAATCGTATATCCTTCATATGATCCATCTCAGTGAAGACTTAGGATACAGGTACCAGTGAAAGATTGCTTTCCATTTTTCACTTAATTCATCCTAAATGAAATACAAATATATTTACATGTTTTTTTCAGAAATCTTATTTTTTGCATGGATTAGCAATCTCCTAAATTATTATTTTTCTCTGCCTCTTTTCCCTCTTTTTTCAGGAAGATGCATAACGGAATTATCTCACAAGAAATGGCATTTAGCATAGTAGGCACTCAGCAGATTTAGGTTGAATAAATGAATGATATTAGAATCACCTGAGAGTTGACAGCTGCCCCAGGTCTGAGAAGCAGTAGACCCCACTGGAGGTAGTGCTATGGAGAACAGCAATTACAAACCTCTGAAAGAGTACACAGTGGCCTTCAAGTCACACTCCATATTTGGGCTCTGGATTTACTAATCTTGTCTCCCTAACTCAGATCTCAAATATAAAAGATATTCAGAATCAGCTTGTAGGTCATCCTTGTTTTTCCAAAGATAGGTCCGTTCCAAAGGTGGACAAGGATCCATTCCTCTCCCGTCCACCTGAATTTGTATGTGCACATGGCTAGTATGCAGCTGATAATGCCACAGCATTTTTGAATAACCATTATACAGTTCAGTCACCAGGTGCAATTTAATTTTTTGCAAGTGACTTAGCAACTTTAAGTTTCAGATTCAGCTTTAGAATCTTAAAGCAAGGTTGTTGTGAAAGACAATGCTTTTTTGTGCCTAAATCTTTTTTAGCTAATGACAGTTACTGTAATGGAACACTCTGAGTTGTGTTTAAAGCAGTTATATCTTTTGTTAAATTTGAAACACTTCTTTGTGTGAAAAACTGATGTTGAGTTTATGTTAATAAAAACATTTTAATGTAAAGGGGAAAGTGCTGTAATAGCTAATTCAATTTTATATAGACATAGATACAGATAAAGCCTATTTTGTTCTTGAAATGACATTCTCTCAGAAACTGTGATTAAGTGTTCTAGAATTATGGTGTTCTAGAATTATGGAATTGTGGTGTTCTAGAAATTTGCTAAGCAGTAGCAGGAATTCATCATTATTCCATGTTTAAACACCATCCAGTTAGATGTGAGGATTGATTCCAGTTTTTTTGCTACCACTTAGACATGCTCAGAAGGTATAGAAGAGCATAAAACCTTTCGTACATATTTAAATTGCTGAGTCTAGATTTGGACTGACCTGTCCCCAAGACCTAGAAGCTGCTTTTTAAAACTATGTAGTTAAAACTAAAGGACTGAGTTTCATAAGTCCTGGAGTTGCCAGTACTCATGGCTTTTGTCCATTGCTTGTAAAAATTGCCAAATTTTATTACCAAGGCTATCATTATACTGTGCTTTGAAGCAGTTGGAAGGTTTTAGCTTCTGTAGGAGTTCAAATTGTCTCTCCTTTATTGATTCAGAAATTTTACTGAGGATGTATGATATAAGGAAGGCTTTGTGCTAGGTCCTATGAGGATATACAAAGAGTTGTGAGAAGCTCTTCTTGCCTCAAGGAGCATATGAAAGAGAAGTCTGGGCCAGTTCATTGTCAATTGCTTGAAGATACAGCCTGTTTAGGTTTAGGGAGCTCTAATAGACTGGCCTTGAAGGAAGGAGAAAGGATGAGTAAGCCATTGTCAGTAAACTTTTCAATGGTCTTTGAGCCTATTCCCATCTATTTTTTAACTACAAGGAGTCTCTTTAAAAAAAAAAAAAAAAAAAAGATGATCAGTAATGGGATCTTAACCCTTGACTTGGTGTTGTCAGCACCATGCTCTCACAAGTAAGCGAACTAGCCATTCCTATGTAGGGATTCGAACCCATGGCCTTGGTGTTATCAGCACCACACTCTCCCAAGTGAGCCACAGGCTGGCCCTAACTACAAGGAGTCTCTAAATCTAAGTCCAAAAGGCTGTATCAGTAGCTTTTGCTGTATAGCAAGCTTCCCCAAAACTTACTGGCTTAAAACAACAACGATTCTACTCACAATTCTGTGGGTTGGCAATTTGGGCTGAGCTCAGCTGGGTGGTTCTTCTGGCTTTGGCTGGGATCATTTGTGAATTTGTGGTCAGCAGCCAAGACAGCTATGTGCTTGGGGGCCCTTGGCTGAAAGGAGTCATCTCAGTTCTACGTGGTCTCTCATGCACAATCAGTCTCACCCCAGGCTTGTTCATTTGGTGGCAGAAGGTTCCAAGAGTGCAAAAGTAGAAGCAAGGCCTTTTAAGGCTCAAGCTGAGAACTCCCACAGTTTTACTTCTGCCATGTTCTACTGGTCAGAGGAAGTCACATGGTCAGCCCAGAGTCAGAGAGTAGGGAAATAGACTCCACTTCTTGATAGGAAGAGCTGCAAAATATTTTTGCAGTCTATCACAGAGAGCCAAGTAGTTTCAAAGACCATTGAGGTAAAAAATAGATTTGGAAGTCGGGCAGAAGACTGGCTTGCATCCTTAGGTGACAAACAGATCTAAGTCATTGATACTATAGCATGGGATCTAGCAGGTAACAGGGCTTGTGGAAGGCTGTGTAATATGGTGAAATGTGCATGAGCCTGGATTGAGTCAGACCTGGATTCAAATATTGGAGCTGTCATTTACTGAGTGACCCTGGGCAGTTAATATAACTTCACCATCACAGTTTTCTCACGTACTTCAGAGGCTTTAGTTAGAATATGTAAAATTCTTTACTTTGATGCCCTGTACAAAGCAGGTCTTTAAAAAATGTTTGTCTTAATGTCCATCATCTTCTATTTCCAGATCAGAGTAGAACATTTTTTATAATTTAGAAGAGTAAGTACAAACAAACCTACCTCTTAGGAAATATAAACATCTAGCTTCCTTTCAGGAATGCATGGATGTTGTTATAATGTCTATTAGCAAGGGAGTTTTATAGACAATATGAACATCCCTATAGCATGGGGGTGCTCTTGCCATCTGGCCCCAGTTACTCTCTTGTGTAAAGACTGAGTGTTTAGGCTGGCTGGTTAACTCAGTTGGTTAGAGCACAGCCTTATAATACCAAGGTCACAGGTTTGGATCCCTCTACCAGCCAGCCACCCCAAAATATAAAAAATAATAAATAATAATAATAATAAAAAGGTTGAGTGTATAGGGAGGGTCGTGAATTCTGTCAGGTCTCCAGGAAACTGTTGATGCTTTACTGGTGAGATATGATTTAAACATTAGAGAAAATCTCTTAGCGTAAAGACAGATGAAACATAAGAGTTTATTGTTGATGTTAAACAATTTTTTTCTTGTACCTGAAAACTAACAAAAACACAGTACTTTTCTTTTGAGGTCCACTAATTCAAAATTAATAATGGATGGGATGGAAACCAGGCTAAAATTCGTTTAAGATAATCATAAGCAAATGCTTTACTAAGTCAGTCAAAGGTAAATAGAATTGGATGGGGAACATTTGGCCTGCCTACACTGTCCATCTTCACTGGCAGATTGCAGTATGTACTGTGTTGGATAGATCTGCCCCCAAGAAGAGAAAATTGCAGAGTCAGACAAACACTTACAAATTTTATCTACTAGTTAAGTCTTCCACCTCCTGGAGGGTGAATAAAGTAAGAAAAGCCAGGAGGCCAGGAATGTGTTTAGAGAGAAGCCCTCTTCATGGAAGCCAGAGGACTGGAGAAAAGGTAGCTCCCTCTGATAATTTACATCTATATGAGCAATAAAGTAGTTAAAAATCTTACCCATTCATTCAAGATTTCTTTTCTAAAAAATCTCCAGGTCTGGTTAGTTAGCTCAGTTGATTAGAGCATGGTGCTAATAACACCAAAGTCCAGGCTTTGATCCCTGTACTGGCCAGGAGCCAAAAAAAAAAAAAAACTTCATTCAGTAGCATAGCCTAATAGGTATTATTTTATGTACCTGAATAATATCCTATTTTCTCTAATCTTTTCCCCATTCTCTGAGTTGATTTCCAGTACTATAACAAAAACAGTAACTATGGCAACGTCTGAATCGTCTTTTACCTTGATCTTCTTTAAGAGCCTTTGTTTACCATTGTATTCCACCCCCAACTAAAATTAAAAAGAGTGACCCATCCAGAATTACATATTAGTAAATTCATTGAGATCTAGGTCAGTCATTATCAGAATTCCTAAGGAGCACACAATCTCATTGAAGTGACAAAGAGTATACAGTAGTAGAAAAGTATGCGTTAGGAAGGACCAGGTTTGGTTGCAAGTGACACAGAACTCAAAATAACAGTGTCTTAAACAAGATAAAAGTTTATTTTTCTCTCATGTAAAAATCCAAAAAGGTTAGCCAGGCAAAGGCAAGGTGGGTAGAAAAAAAAGAAAGAAAAGTCCAAGAAGGTGTACCATGGCTTGATGCTTCAGCCCTATTGATTATATTCTCATTCTAACATCCAAGAAGGGTTTAAAAAAAGAGAGTAGAAAGTTCCCCAGCTTCCTTTAAGGATGCCTCCTGCAGTTGTGTACACCACTTTTGCTTATATAACATTGGCCTGCTCTTAGCTGCAAGGGAAGCTTGAAAAATACATCTTTCATTTGGGCAGCCAAGTACCAACTAAAATTGGGGTTCTGTTACTAAGGAAGAATGGAAGGATGGATATTGGGAGATAACTGGCAGCCTCTGCCACTGACTGTTCAAAGAGTTGGAAGTACCAGGACTCTAGAATATCAAAAGAACCAGGAGGGACATGTTATGGAGGGAATGAGGAGGTCAGCAGTGTCAGATGCAACTGAAAGGGCAAGGAGAATGAGGACAGATAAAGCAAATTTGCAAAGATTACAGAAGGGCAATGAGAAAGGAAGCCACACCTCTGGGGGTTAAGTTGACCTCAGCAGATGGGAGCAGGAGGGGATCCCACATTTGGTAAGTTTGACAGAGAAAGGGAAGAAACAAGAGAGCTGTTAGAAGAGGGCAAAAGGATCAATTGAGGGATTTTTTCAAAATTGTAGACTTTTGTGTTTCAAGAAATTTCTTACCCTCTTGCCACATTTTTTTTTTTAACTTCTTAGAGAAAGCACTGATTTTTTAAGTGGTTTGG